TATATGGGCTTTGATAATCCATAGATGACTGATAAAATATAGTTTATATACTTTATATATACTGATATAGATTATTATATATTATAAACGCTCACCCTGATGAATATATGCACCGAGATACTATTAAAGACCGACATCCTTTCGGGAGTTCGCGTCCTTGTGAATATTGAAGTGATTAAGTTAAAAACTGATAACATTGTACTAATTTTATGATTTATTAGTTTAGTAGATGTATTTATGCATTTAGAACACAATAATATTCGATTTTTCTTAAAAATTGTGATTTCGGTGTTATGGTCAAAATTTAATCATTAAAAAAGATGATAACTGCAAAGAAAAAAAATGTAATTTTTCTGCAATATATAGGATATTATAGCTTTAGAAGTATGAATATTTATTTATGAAACATTTATATAATAAAAAATCATAAATTTAATAATGTATGAGCCAAATATTTATGTTAATAATAGCAAATTTATATCAATTATCGGTAATGTCAGCGTTCTTCAATTATCTCCGGACCCTTTGGGGCCCTTTTTATATCACCGAAAATTTGCCCAGGGTTGACGATCTTTAATAGGATCTCATCGTCGGTGATATACGTCTTTATACATATATGAATTGTATGCGTGAGATTTAAATGTTGTTATCGATATATAGAACAAACAAGAACTATGATCAAAAACCTTCTAATAATTCTCCGAAAGAGGTCTCTAGTCTATTCTGTCAAGTCGGCGATATTTCTAGCATGAATCATTCTGATGATAATAACAATCGTAATAATTATCAGGTAACTCATATTTCAAACGAGATAAGGCCTGTAAGTTTAGTGCCAGGATGAATCTAAAAAATCGAATCTAAATCTAATCGAATCGAATCTAAATCTAATCGAATCGAATATAAAAAGAAGAAGAGATTACGATTCAATGGATTCATACCAGATCTTTGTGCAGACATTCAAACAGGCTGTATCCACTAGAAATTTCACAGATTTGTCGAATATCTTTAAGAATGGTCATACATCCCTCGCAATTGTTTCGCTCGAACATCGTGGTAAATATGGTTATGTAAATATAAAAATACATGTGATATTTTATTGTTTCATGAAAAACTAAACGTTTCTTATTTACTTTGCGTTATATTTGAATAGAGACTATTTTTTTATAAATTTATACTCAAAATTTTTAAAAGCCTTAATAAAGGAATAATTTGTTCAAATTTTTAAACCTTTGAAAATTCCTACAATTTTTAGATTAATACTACGTTTCACATTAAAATATAGTTCATTTTACAAAATCTTATTCTCTTTCTAACTATTATAATTTTATACTCTAATTGTACTCTATATATTTAAAAAATTATGAACATAATTAAAGTTTTATATATTAATTTATTTTTTTTTAATTAATTATACAATAATTTATATTATAATAATTTTTTTTTAGAATTAATTGTATGCAGCATATTTGACAAAAATAATGGCTTGCTGCATTTCCTCAATTGTGAACTTCCACTTCGAATTCAAAACAAACACGTTGATGATGCTCTAACACAAGCATTTAATTTTCTTACATTTTTCATTAACAATTTTTATACTACCCCATGTTTTATGCAATATATTCATGAAATTAAGGTAAGATCTATTATACATTGATATTATTTGTTTAACAGATGTTAATAGGTTGAAAATAGTGATCAGTGATTAATAGTATCTAATGATTAAAAAGTTTAATATAATGTCATATCTATTAGTAATAAATAGTATCTTGTAATAAAGTATAAAGCTGAGGAGATTTGATGTCATATTTTTTATATACATATTAATATCTTATAATAATATTTCTGTATTATGATATGTTGCAGAATGTATGTCAGTTAGGACTAAAGATAAAACTTCATTGTCATACCAAAAAAGCTGCTCATAATACTTTTATAAAATTAATAGAATTATTCAAGGATCATGACTTAAAATTTGATGAAACAGTTCGTAACTATTGTCGGACATTTCATAATTATGACAAGAAAGGTGATAATACATTATTTGATTTAAATTATGTACAAAATGTAATGTTAATTTTTGTTGTAGAAAAGAGATTTATATTCTGTGTACTGGGTAAAATAATTAAGTATGTTGAAAGTATTCGTTCGTCGCAGAACTATTTAGATATTATTTTCCAACAACTATATTATGATGCACGTGATGAGGTAAAGTCGACAGTAATGATCTATAAACTTAATTGTGAGATAATTTATTAATTTTGGAAAACTAATAATTTACATGATATTTTAATAATTTGATGTGCAGTACGATTCTAAAATCAACGTACGTAATGACTTCTACATGTATTTTGATGCTCTCGCGGACATATTGGATGGTGTAGTGGAACCACTAAATACATTAAAGGATAAAAGACTCTCTGATTCATATAAGTGGATCAAGGATTTTGGCCAATGCAATAAACATGCAATACAGCAAGGCGATGATGAGAGGGTCAGAACAGTTACGAAATCGGCAATCAATTTTTTGTGTCGTCATATGAATCTATTTCAAGACTTGCTATATTCTGATTGCATGTACTGGCATGATATCCTTCAACGCTTATCGCTCAAAACAACCACTTACAATATTTATGGACAACGCGCATTGAAAAGATTTTACCAAGTTATCGGACAGATTCTTACAAATCAAAATAGTAACGAGAGTGAAATATTGGTGGTAAGACATTATATTAAATAAACATTATATTAAATAAACAAAGCATTTTAATTTGTTATTCGTGACTAAAAAGAAATTCTCGTAAACTGAATCTTAAAAAACTATAAGAAATAAGTGACAACACGAGAAAAATATCAGGACGCACCGAGATTCGAACCGAGGCCTGGGGTGCTAATCTGTAACTGTCTTTACATGCCTACCGATAAATGTCGGCGTGTAAAACAGAATAGCACTCCTAGTCTCTTCCGTAATGATAGATTTTCATTCTGTCACTGAGCCATACAGCCCTGACGCTGATAGCTTCTCTGTTGTATCTATTTCCTCTAAATGTGTTACAGAACGTAACAGATAATAGAATTATATTCTTCAGTTAACTTAATTCCTTTATAATTTGATGTTTTTTTTTGTTTTAGAAATTTGTGGAATATTTTTACAGAGAATTCAAAAAAACTAACTTAAATTTAACCACATTGCGATTAATCGTTTATGGCTTCAGTCAAATGGCTGCACCATGCAAAGTGCACATGACTCAATTTGAAGTAAGACATATGTATTCCATTACAACCAGTTATGCGCTTCCTCTTTGTTCCAGGTAAGATATTTTAGGTATAAGAATAATCTTAAATGATTTATATTGAAATTTTTTTATATTAAAATAAGATAGTAACAAATAATTTCTTCATTTGTTCTTTTTCAAGCGAGCATAGCCATTCGACGCACATAGAGAGCATCTGTTGTTATCAAGAAGCGCTCTCAGAAATACTACGTCACATGACTGATGTTACAATTGAAAATATTAACATCCTTATAAAGCTTAGTATCTATGTGATCAAGAGATTCCCCGATTTAGCAATATCTAACAACGCGCTCGCCATTTCAACATTAACTAAAACTATCAGCAATCTTATGATTATCGATAAAGCTCTACTGCAGCGATACCTGGACAGTATAGGTAAATAAATCAAATGATCTTTTTTGGAGAAAAATTTAATATTTAAATAATTTTCCAAGAAAATTTGACATAATATTTTTATTCAAAATTACCTAAAGAATAATTATATGTTAATAATGAAGTGTATTTTTTTCTGAAAAGTATTAAAATCTTGTTTTTGTGATCAGTTTATGATGGTATTGCGTGGAGTTGCTCGCACACTTTGGCGCTTGACGCAGAGTTGCAACGGGAATTGAACAATCTGGAACAGTCGCCAGTATGCTACAAGAACTATCTGCCGCTGTGGATGGAGCTATTGAACGCCAAGAGATATTGTGGACAAGAACAGTTAGCGCAACATGTAGCCAATACCATGATAGACGTATGCATTACGTTAATTAATCGACTGAACATAAACGTGAAACGAAGAAATGAGGACACCATATTATCCGATGTGGCTCTGACTCAAAGCGCCGTGAATCAAGCGGACTTCCGCGTGTTCGCAAATGTTGTGGATCTCTATGTAGACGTGATCGATGCATCAGATCCGCAGTTGTTCGCCAACACCGTACACAGATTTCTCTACGAAGTCATTCGGTTGTCGTACAAATATCCGCTGATATCCGGCTTCTACAAACTGATTCAGGCCGGTATGAAAGTCTTTACTCATACATCAGAGGACGAAGAGGAAGAGAAAAGCGCAGAGTCGCGACGGATAGAGGAGCTTCTATCTAATTACTTATGGCACACTCTCGATCTAATCCCTGCGTTCTCCAATGAATTACTGATCGCGTGCCTCTACTTGATCCTGGACGCACCTTTTGCGTATGTCAAAGATGCGCTGCCGTGCACACTGCCGACATTTAAGATCGCGTTCACTGCCGGTCTGAGTAACCTGGAACTCGCGTATAGCGCGCTCACTGCTCTCGAGATATGGACGACAAAGGCACAGGAACAGAAACAAAATGAACAAATAAACGAACTGTTACGTGAAATCATCGTATACCTGGAACCTTACTTGCGCAGCACAGAGAGTTCTGTTGAAATCTCGCAAGACTTGATGGCAGCGAGAAAGCGCGTAAAACGTGTTGATGTGATTAACACAGATCACACGCTGCGAAACTACCAGCGGCGAGTTTTGCTGTTCCTCGGATCGCTTGATCACGATATGCTAACGAGTTTTGTACACGAGCATGCTTCCCGTAATACTGGGGCGTCCTGGGACTATAAGGAACTGTCCAAGGTTTGCAAGTACAGTCTGTTACTGCCAGATGCAGAACTGGTTATCCATTTTGACCGGATGCTACCACGGGTAATTGCGTTAGCGCGCGACTCCAGCGATCGGCGCACGAAAATCGCAGCCTGCGAGGTTCTACATTCAATGATAGCTATCATCATCGGCTCACTCTCGTACTCGAGAAACTCGGATTCGGAGACTCGCTTCCCCACTCTCTATAACACTTTATGTCAGGCCGTGCTAGCCCTCGGTTGCGACTCAGACGAAGTCGTATGCAGTCTCTTCCGTCCACTGGCGTTGCAGCTGATGCACTTATGGAGCTCCAGTCTCGAGTCAATGTCCTTGGTGATCGATTCACTATTTGACAGTTTGACCAACGACTCGAATCCCGCTTTGCGCGAGTTCTCCGGCATGTGTCTTGCAGAATTTACGCGCTGGTCAATCAGGTATCTCATTGCGACTTAGGTTTCTATAATTTTTTTTTTTTTAAGACAAACGTCTCAATTTCAGCGATTGATAAATCAATTTGTTCATCAGACAGAGCGCAACAAACAGGGTGCAACATGTGCGTACGATCATCGAAAAGATTAACAATCTCGCGTTGCATCCCTTGACGCGTAAACGCATAGCCGCAGCCGTAGCCTTCAATCATCTCTATGTGATTCTACGTGAGGAAGACGACACAGTGTCAATTTATTGGCTGAAGATATTCTATTGTTTTGTCCGCAGCTTAGAAGGATGCGACGATCCGTCAATCACGAATGCACTGACCCATATCGAGAGAGTAATGAAAGTCAAGGCGGAAAGTCTAAAAATGCCCAGTTCCCATCGTCGAAAACCGCACGAGTTCGACGACGCAACCTTGACCTACGCTCTGTATTGGTTGCTGTCACAGTGCGGAAATCTCGACGAGCATTGCCGTGCGAAATGCATGGAGCTGTACATTAACGTGTCACAGCATATCGATTCCGCACAGGAAACGACGCAGAACTTTGTTCATACTTATGGAATAAAGCATCTGAACGATATCATCTTGAAAGGCTTAGAATCGGGCGTGAAAGATATTTCTATGGCTAGTAATATGATGCCGCTATTGAAAGCTCTGGATTATTACATGTGGTTGATAAACAAGGAATTGCTGCCGGTAGAAAAATTCTTTCCCGCCGATATAGATGAGCAACAAATTTTCTCCCACATTCGTAGTTTTGCTTGTCAATTCTGGCGAATAATTGAAGAGTCCTCGATAGGAACAACTGTGACCACAATGAAATCTAAAGAACTCGAACAGTTGCAGGCCTTACAATGCAAAGTTCTGATGACTACTTTAAATTTCGTACAAGTGCTATTGAACGTGAACGTGAGTTATTTCGATTTATTTTATATTATATAACATATAATCGAGAGATTTATGAATAACTAAATTAATTAATAATAAAAGTACTTTCTCTCTTAAGACAAAATGTGATTATTGATGAGTCATTAATTGGAAAGTGATTATATTTTAACGATTGGGATTTATTTGAATTAATGCCTATTTACGTATTGATTGATAAATAATTTTGCAATAAAGTTTTGTCAATTATTCGTTTTCCAGGTAAATGTTCCGGAATCGTTATGGGACGAATCGTTGACCGCTTTAACGATTAGATGTATTATGCATCCACGAACGCTCGGTTTCGATGTGAAAAATATCAAGATTACGGATGAATTGCCACATGTCTTGGAAACTCTGTTAAATTCCATGAGATCGAGGTACAATTATGCTCTGCCGGACATCTTTAACAAGTGTCTTTTAAATTTTATTCGAAAAATCGTCACGAAGCTTCTTGATCTACAAGATATCATAAAAAACGACTCCTGCGATGATCTGATCCAACACGTTAACGGTCTGATTCTGTTAAAACGGTATGATATGTTAAATCCAACGATGCTAGAAACGAGTACTTTTACGGACGCTGATTACACGATCACGCAGATCTTTGAATTTTTGGTGAGCAAACATATCGGGGAATTGGCCTGCAAGGACTTGAGCACGCAAATGATCGAGTACTTGCGAGCTTTGATGGAATTTCAGTTCTTGTTACTCCCGGCGACAATCGAAACGCCGGTGATAATACCTGATGATGTTCGATCGATAATCGATAATCTGGTGAAATTCATATCCAACAATAATCAAGTAACTAGTGTGGACTGCACGATAATCACGCACGGCGAACATTTTCTGAATACATTCAAGAGTGTGATCTTCAAATACATGTTAACGCACGTAAGCGCGATCACGCACGTCTTCGAAAGTACATATGACAATCCATCCTTTTTGCTGAAGTGGATTGAAGATATGTTGTTGTTCCTGAAACAGCACAAGTGCGAACTGCAGGCTTACGTGGACACCATGGTCGACTTGATTCTGCAGCAATTCACTTATCTGAAGAACATCATCTTTAATGTGGACAGTCGCAAAGAGAGACTGATGAATATCTACAGTATTGCGGTGCATTTGAAGTCAAAGCCCACGGAGGTCTTGCAGAATCATGAATTTTACCAGTGGATTCGGGATGAATTAACGAATAATAACAATCTCGAGTACAAGACGAAGATTCTTAAAAACTTCTTCGTCTGCCTCACAGATGTGGTGGATTGCAACGATTTTCAAATAAGTTGGACTCTAAGAAACGACAGTCGACATCTGTGCTCGAATCTATCTGAAATGAGCGTGAACGCCATGAAGGTGATCGATTGCTTCGAGACGTTGCTAATATTGCTGTCGACGACCAGATCGAAGACAATGCTTAAGTGCGTGATAGACTTTGCCGCCGGTACCGGAAATCGTCTCTTCGACGAAAAACTGGAGGAACATTTGCATAGATACTACTATGGAGCGTCCCTTGAACATGTTCTAGATTCGCTGCGAAAGACCTATTCTGCATTCATGGAAATGAACACTACCGAAACGGAAAGACTTGACATTTTGCATGAATTTCTCTTACCAGCATTCAAATTTTGCGACTCAACCGCGATCGAACGCTTCTTTGAGTGTAATTACAAAGTTCTGTATGATTATTACATTTATTTTTTAAATATCTCTAACGACGATGATGCAATCAAGCAAAAAATTGTGACGATGATTGGATACTCCCAATTACTAACGATTATGTTTGCCAGAGTGGACAAGAACAAAATACAGGCGAACGAACCGACCATGCAGAATCCAGGGTCTAATTTAAAAATCTTGGTCGAAAAGAGTGATTATCAACAATTAGTCTTCAATATCATAAAGATATTCCTGAAGAGTAGCGAGAAGAACATCAGGTCAAAATGTCAAGAACTTATACGTCAGTTGCAGTGCTCTTTATACAATTGCTTGTTGGCGATCATAAGCTTGAAGGAGGATGAGAGTTCCTATCGTGTAGTATTCGATTC